AGCCTCACCTGCCGCAAGTTGGAACTTTTTTTTTTCGTTCGCGAGGTTCCCCGACAGGCAGGGCGCAGAGGAACGTTGGCGAGAGCGAATTTTACTTATTCTGTCAGGGAACTTGTGCACTTTTTCTTGTTCTTTTTTTTTGTCGGGGGCAACATCCGTTGTTTGCTTTTGAAACACATGGCTTCGGTGTTGCATCCGTCCGAAAACAGTGTCTTGGATGTAGCTCGTTGCCTCTTTTGTTTTGTCGGAGATTGCGCGTGCATCGTGTCCAAGAGCAGTCGCAGGGCACCACAATGGCTTGCGGGAAACGGAAGCACTGCGTAAGGTTTGTACGGTAGGATTGAAAACGCACACCACAAACGAAGGCGAGAGTCCCTAAAACGCCGAGCCTTGACCTTGCTTTGGGCACGAGGAAGATGGCAATTGGAAACAGTGTTGATTCTTGTTGCTTGCCAGGCGATGAACGCTGTACAAGCTGCGCTTTGCCGTGTCTGCGATTCATTTTTCCGGAGGGGACGGGGGGGCGGTGAGAGGGATAAGGGGGTTGGGTGAAAGCGGGGCGGTGTCCAGCTGTACGCGGGGGGATATCTTGTTGTCGGTCGTTTTTCATTTTTCTCGTCCGCTGTGCGCTGGTTCAAGTGTGCATGCACACCTCACCGCTCCTGTAGAAAACGAAAAAGTACGACAGTCCGTCCATTACATGTAACGTGGAAACCCAAGTGTTTTGCATGTTCCTAGACGTGGAAGAAAACACACATGCAACCGGCGAGAAAGAGGGGTGTCATCGGCGGAAAAGTCGGCTCCTGATGTGCGTCAAAACGAGACGGTATGTACTTGTCCAGGGCTCCCATGCTAATAGACACATCGCAGTCAATTTAGAAAAGGTCTTCCTTCGAGACTGGGTTGACCTGAGGTTTTCGTGCTCGACCCGCTGACTATTTTCCCTCTCTTCCCTTGCTGCCCCTGCTGCTGCTGCTTGTTTTTTTTGCCCCCTTGCCGTCGTATTGCCACGCGCGCGCGCCGCATCATCTTGTTGCACGCGATCCTTCTGCCAGGTGGAGTACCGACCTGTGCACAGCTTCACGTTGGACGAGGAGGAGGTCAAGATGGTTCCTCCCTTCAAGCGAGTGTACTGAATCCACTCAGACGTATCACTCGCCAAGATGGGAAAATCACATGATGGGGGAGTCACAAAATGGGGGGAAAAAGTGTTTAGGGCGGCGGGGGGAGAAAAGCCGAAGTTTTAAGAAGGAAGTCATCGGGACGGGGGGGGCTCTTTTTCTTCTCCAGTCTTGTGCGCAGGGTTGTAGTTACAATTGCTGCTGCCGCTGTGCCTCTACTGCTAGTGATAGGATCTAGACTCTTGTTTGCGGTATAGGTGGAGCTCTCGGTGTTCCGTGTGGCCGAAGAAAATAGCTTCCTTTTTTTTTCCGCTTCTGGCGGTACGATGGACGGGCACGCGCAGGGAGCTTGCCTCGCACGAGGGCAGAAAGATAGCGCATAGCGCGTGATGGATGATGATGGAAACCAGGGGCGTGTTTTTCTCGTAGTTGTTGCCTGCAGTGGATGGGGTGTCCATCGTCCCTTTGTGGATCGCGGATGAACCACAAGTGTATGCGTGGTCAAACAAACGTGAATGATGTGGGCATGGGGGGAGAGCAACGTGATTGTTGTAGTACGCAGCCACCGTCACGAAGTGTAGCGAACGGCTGTCGGGGGGGGGCGGAGGGCTGAAGTGGAGGGAGCTGAGTGGTGCCGCGCTTCCGTGTGTTTTCATCCGGTCGTCCTGTGTGAGGAATTGCTCTGGTTGACAAACTGGTCTGGTCTCCTGCTTTCCAGCTACACCATACATTGTGAACACGATTATTTTTCTTGTGATACCACTGTCGGAGGGATAAGCTCAAGGGCTTCGGTGACCGAGGGGGCTAGAAAAGGCAAGCTGCACCACAGCGCAGTGTGTACATCTTTGGCGTATATGTTTTCGTTCGTATTGGTGACCCCCACCCTCCCTCCTAGTTTTGCTACATACATGTCAGGAGAGAGGGGGCACACACACGCGGGACAATGAGCAAATGGATTTTTTTCTGATCGTCAGAGGAACTCGAAAGGACTGGGCGATCGTGCCGCCCGCTTTGAGGAGCAAGCGATCGCCCGCTTTGAGAAGCAACTGTTGTTTCTCCGAAAGTACAACCACATGGTACCGTATTGACCTCATCGGCGCGGCCGGCACCCCTTTGTATCAGGAAGGCATGCCACAGCTCGCCGATCGATGATGGTGGACTGTGAGCTGCTGTGGAGTTAACGCTTTTTTCGGGGACAGCGCTGATTGAAACCCCGACTTGCAATTGGGGATTACTCTGTGGATGGTAGCAAGGACGTAGAGTCCGACAGCTCTGCCAGTCAGTTCTCTGCAGGCAGTTCCTTCACCGCTCTCCCCGTGGTCTGCCCAGCGTTATGCCCAAGGTGCCAAAGTTTCGCGCAATCCCTCGGTTCCTGCGGCTTGAGGTATCTTTTTTACGCCTCGGATGTGTATCATCAACGTGCTTGCCCCATGTCAACAACGGCATGCAACACGTTCTCAGACTACTGCTGTAAATTCCTCTCCTCATACTTCTCCTGTTCGTCACCCTTGCATATACCGCGTCCCCATCCCTGTGAGCCCCACACATGGACTCACTGCCGCACCATCCTTGCCGCTGTGATTTGTACACGTATGTGTGCATGTAAGATCTTGGACCCCACAGAGAGAGCCCTTTGCGGGGAAAACCAAAAAAAAATCAAATAGACCCAGTCACGTAAGGGTTAAGTCCAAGGTCAAGTATGTGCTCTATCGCAACATTGGTGAGCGCTATTTTTGAATCTGCCGTCAAATATGCTGTCCAAAGAATATGGGTGACGCCATTTTCCAGCATCAATGCGGGGGGGGGGATCGTTTCGGGGGGCGGGTGCACTCAACTACCGTGCATGCGGTAGTAATAAAGATTATAGACCTCGCATCCCTACGATGTCGGGACGGAACACGACGGGGTTTCGCCGGACCAGGCTCGCATTCACCAAGCGCGGAACGCCGTATGTATTATTGTGTTCGGCGAGCTGCATGAAGGATGGGCTGCCGCGTTCCGATCTCTGCTCAATACCTTCAAAAAATATTCGACTGGACCAACCGACGTGGACTGCGTCGGTCCGTGGTCACAGGCCAACTACTGCTGTACATGGATGATGGGCAATGAAACACAATTTGAAAGGACCCAGGCACCAACATAAACGTACAGTAATAATAGCAATAAACAAGAAGCCAGACGTCGCAAACGACATGTCGGTCAACAACAGAGATATGTCTCTGGAACCCATCGATCCTGCTCGACACACAATGTGAAGCAAAGTATACTACAACAGAGCATCGAAGATCACCAACCCATTTAGGCCGAAGGGTGTGCATCGCCGAGTTTACATCGATTGTTCCTGTTTTTTCCGCATATATACCTACAGATAGATGTAGGATGGTTCTAAAGACCAAGAGAAACATGATGATACCGGTAAACTCCATCCAAATCAAAAGTATTGGTCCCCGCATTCCAACATGTGCCGGAATACCCTTCAAGTGTAACGGGGAGATTGCTATAGGACCTAACGAAAACAAACGAAGCTTTACTGTAAAACAATGTAATTTGTTATGTCGTTTTTAGGATGATAGGAGAAAAACAATGGTCACGGAAGTAAGTCCCCGAGCGAGAGAACGGGAGAAGTTGCACCTCGAACACTCTGTCGAAGCTACCTGTTCACACCGAGAACCTTAGGAGGACTAGAGAGAGCAACGCAGAGACAAGGAGCGAGGTGGACACAAAGAGGGCTTTGAGTGGTGTGCCTGCTGGAGGATCTAGAAATAAGTAATGTCTTGTAGGCGGAAAGGCAGCGACACGTTGTTAACTAGAAAAGGCGCAGAAAAAATGTGTCTGCCGGGAAAAAAATGCTCCACCAAGTTGTTGGCATCTCTTGGTTCCTCGGGTCTGGAAAAAAATTATGAAGTCAATTCAACAGAAAAGCAATAAAGGGCTTGGCTTGTTTGGCCCTGAGGGACGACGCGTATGGTTGGCAGTGATGCCAAAATCGCCAGACAGATACATGGCGTACAAAATACCACCAACGGGGGAAATTGTGCCAGGGGGGGGCTCAATATCGTTTATTATATACATACACATCCGGGGCGAAACCTAAGCTTTCATGCTTTCCGGTCGGTCGTTTGTTTTCAGGGAGGCGGCGGAGGTTGCACCCGTAAAGTTAGGGGAGGAAAGCAGAGGAGGTTTCAGCACAGAACAAGCCCACAACAATCGCCGTGACGCGAAATCTATGCAAACTAACTATAATAAGTGAAACGTCCACCCCCGAATGGTCACACCTACCTGTGTTTCATACCTTTCTCACCAGTCATAATTTCCACGGAGTCAACGGTAGCGGTATCTAGCCTGTACTGCACGTCCCCGGCGTCCCAAAAAGTACAGACCGCGTTGTTAGGATCCATACACCATTCGTCGCAGCTGCTGTCAATCGCGCCTAAGTAAAGACTTGAAAAATTCGCGCTAGGGTTGGATCTTCGTTCTTGTAGCTGTAGCTGGTCCATACGCCATGTAGAAGTTGTACCTTCCGGAGAAGTCGATGATGATGTCGGTCTGTCGACGAGAACGAGGGATCCGAGACGTTCACGTGTTGGGAAAGTAGCCTCTTCCTGGCTGATTACCGAAATTCTCCAAAGCAGCAGAATTCGCAATGCGGGTACTCCACGAGGCAAAAGGGTGATCGAATCGCTGTAGAGTCCACTGAGGGTATATTAGACGGGAGAGACGTCCGAGTGAGCGACGGGTTCGAGTGGCCTCAGCTGTCTCGATGGCCTAGAGCGGAAACATCTCCCATCAATTCGATGTGGTGCTCCGGGGGGGAGGAGTTAAGGTGTGACAGCCTGTCCATAGGTTCAATTAGGGGTAGAAGACGCGAAACAGGGTGGGCCCGGGGGTAGTAGTAGCCATGATGAACTCGTGGGTGTCCACGGAAATACACAACAATACACAACCCAGATTCACGAACAGAACAAACAATCGTTCTAACTCAAACCCACCATTGCACGGCGATCTCGGGGATTCGATACATATGGTGCACGCGAAGAATGTTGAAACATTACGGTGAAGAAAACTGCATTCAGCTCTTCGCGGTAAAACAAGGATTTCGGGCTACCAAGTGCGGCTCGATAAGAGCGACACCAGGAACGAAAACATCCAAAAATGAAGGCGCAACGTGGACGCCCCAAAGACACAAGGAAACAGGGTACAACAAAAGGGAACATGGGCATTCCGGGCGGGTGTCGGCTCCAGGCGTCTCCACCGTTCGGCCCCCCGTCACTCCACCTTGAAGCGTGGGTGCTACACGACAACAACAACTTGGGCTGGGTTGGTTCGGTGGGTATTAACTTGAAGAGTATCCCAAAGTCCGCGTCACAACTTTACGACCACCGCTTCATCCTGCGTTCTAGTGGAAGCACGCGTGAAGTGAAGCTGGGCTAGAAATATCCGTTTCGGCCCCGTTGCTCCTGGAAACCGCGGTAGCTGTATTTCCGCTCAAAGGTCGGCAGGTTGGGACACCTCTTTGCGAGTTGACATCATATTGAGGCCATTCGGACGATTTCAGGGGGCGTGTCTTCCGTAGTTTATGGGAACAGGTCGTCCAGCACTTCTGTTATGCGGAACATGGCCGTGGCACGACCGAACGCGTTTGCGTACCTGGGTTGGGATACCGTAGGCCGTGAAGCACTTGCAACTTGGACAGACTTGCACAGGGGGTGGGAGCCCCGGTTATTGTGGGCACTTGGGGCACGGAGGGAAAAACGAAATATTCTTCTTCAATGTTAATTTGCTCGGGTGGCTACTCTCGGTTCCATTCTGCTTGTCGTCAAACGAAAAAAGAACTGGAATCTTGGTAATCTCCAACAAACTGCTCCGCGAAAGAGCCACACGAAAAGACTCTCTTGGTGCATACATCTTGAAGCAGACACATGTTGCGATGTACATACAAAACCCCTTTATAGGTGCAGGGAAAGAAGTGCAAACGATACCTACCAATTAGAGAGGACAGACAGGTCGAAGAGGAAACCAAATCAATGGTGGTGGTGCTGCAGCAGTCTTGGGAGCAAAGTTCAGAAAACATCATCATTTGGG